CACTGGAGGAACCAAGTGCAGAGACCTCCCTCCCTGTGCCTTCCACCTCCCTCCTCCTTCGCCTTGCTGAGACTCTGGGTCTCTGCACCACCTGTGCCTCAAGGACACTCCACCTCTGACACTGTGGCCACCATCACCTAGCCAATGCCTGTCCTTCAGGCTGCAGCCTAGATGTGCCCTTCTCTAGAAGCTTTTCCTTACTTCCGGAGCCCTGAGTTCTCCCTTGCTGGACCCGCAGCCTCTGACATCTGTCACTGTGCATCCCGACTGTTGTTCTACAACAGATGAGACCTAGGACAAGCAACCTGACTGGGCAGTCCCATCTTGATTCCAGCCCTCAGATTAGGCATCCAACAAGGCCCTCAAAACCTCTGAGAATGGACAGAGGAAGACAGCATCTCTCATCTCTGCCCTTAGCTCTGGCAGTGCTAGCACGCATGCCAAGACCTGCTGTGACAAGACAATGCTAGGACAAGGCCAGGAGCCACATCAGTGACCCTGAATTCAAAACAGACTCAAAACCTAAACCCAGGGGCTGGGGATTTAGTTCAGTGGCTGCGGCCTGCCTCACAAGCAGAAGGTCCCAAGTTCGATCCCCATTACCAAAACAACCTAAACCCTGCAAGTAGAAGTGTTGAACATACCAAGCTGATGGCCCACATGACCAACGCCAGTCATTTGTGAGCACTGTCCCAAACATAAAGGTCACCCTTCTGGGACATTCTAACAGTGATATCCAGAGGCCACAGGAGGTGCTTAGGAGCATGATTTCCTGGTCCAAGGATAACATCAGAGGAAGACAGTGGGAGCTGAACTTCTAGACAGGAAGGTGGATGCTGTGGAGCCAGGTTAGGAGAAACTGCTCAAGGGCCCTATAGGGTAGGGTGGTCACTAGTAGGGAGAAAGCACCCCGGTGAGCCAGAGTAGACTTCCCCTTCCAGTATTGCTCCCTGGAGGAGTTTATAGGCATAAACCTCAACCACACTAAAAGTTGGGAATTTTCTAATAAAGCTATACTGCTCACCGCTCTCTCAGTTCTAGACAGAGAAAGCAGAGGCCAAGCTACAGAGGGATCTGCTGATGTGCCTTGTGCCCAGGCTAGCTGTCTCTGGCCATGTGACCCTCGGCAGGCTGCCTGCTTGGCACCTGAAGAGGATAGCAGCTGGGTACCACAGGGATAGGTCAAGGGCTCCCAAGACCTCTGCTCACCAGAAATTCAAGGCTCATCACCTTTCCCACTCCCAGCTATTTGATGTTCTTAGATATTTCCATTTTCTGTTTCCACCAGCAGAGAGACCTATGAAACTTTTTCAAATGCCAGAGCTGAGCCACCATCCCAGTGCAGTTGTGGACAGAAGACAGCAGCCAGGGTGTGGCCAGTAGGCAGCGGGCTCTCCATGGCTGTCCCACAACAGTCAGGTGGCTGTGAAGATCGAACACAGACACATATGAGTCCAGAAATCTTACCAGATCTGTCTTCTGGATCTTCCTCCTCCGACGACCCCTCCATGTCCTCTCCGTCTGTGTCCTCTCCATGCTCACTGCCCGTGTCATCCTCAGAGTCCCCGCTGTGACCATCGCTGTTCTCTTCTAGACCACCATGATAAAAGCACAGGCCCCAGGCACAGTGTCACAACTAAGAGCCCTGACAAAGGACTACCACATTGCCCAGGGCTGGTATGGTAGCGCTGAAAAGGGGACAGTTTTTATTGCGAATGTTTGTTGCCTGCAATTAAAAATAAGACAAAAACCTATGCAGAGTGGCAGTTGCTTATGTTCTCAGCTACTTGGGAGACAGAGGAAGCAAGATCGCTTGAATCCAGGATTTCAAGGCCAACCTGGGTAAAATAGCAAAACCCCATCTCAAAATAACAAAAAACAAACCAAAACATAAAAAGAATGAATGTAGGGCTGGGGATTTAACTCAGTGGTATTGCGCCTGTCTTGCAAGTACAAGGTCCTGAGTTTGATCCCTAGTACCACCAAAAATAGAAAAAAAAGAAAAAAGAATGAATGTACTATACTTCTACAACTTAAAACCAAAGAGTTTTCTGAAAGGTTGAAACCCTGAAAACTGACTGGCCACATCTTTCAAGGGTGGCAAATGGACTGCAAAAAACACAGTGCCCCTGCTCCTCCAGGGACCCCTCCCAGCGCTGGGACAGCTCACCAGAACTGCTGGCCAGGTCTGCAGGGCCAACACAGGGGCATCCATCTGGCTCTGGGCTTTGGGCCACGAGCTCATCCAGGTTATCATCATCCATTGCTGCACATTGGAGTTCAGCCCTGAGAGAGAACAGAGCCAAGTAATTCCTAAATTGCACCAAGTTGCAGAGCTCCTCAAAGAATGAGAGTCTCTCCCATGTCACATCCCCGGTGTCATGAACATTTTTGTGCAAGGAGTGGTCAAGCTGTGCGACAACACACACAGTGCAATGCCAACCATACAGAGGAAGATACGGACACTTATCCACATAGACACATGCAAAGCCAGAGTCCAGCTCCTGACAACTGGTGATGCCTTTGTGCAAGGCTCCTGAGGCACACACTCGAGGAATGAACAAAAAGAACTCATCCTGCTAGGTGTAGTGGTGCTGGCCTGCAAACCCCCAGCATTTGGGAGGCTGAGGCAGGAGGATTGCTCTAAGTTCAAGGGCAGCCTGACTAAATAGTGTTCCAGGACAGTCTGAACTACATAGCAAGACTCTGTCTCAAAACAAATAAAAAGAAAAAAAGAACTCATCCTGAGTTGAGGAAGAGAAGTGCTTCTCAACTGAACACCAGCCACCAGAAGGGCCCAGGTATTAATCACACTGACACTGTCTGCATGTCACTTTTGACTCAGGCTGGCTGATGGCTCTCAGCCTGTGAGGCCCAGCTGAGGCTCCTACGCCCTATCCATTGTCTGCCTGTGGAGCCCCATGATGCCTAGGTTGGAGGACAGAAGGGGCAGACACTGGGCTGGGACTCTTGTCATTCATCAGTGGGGAACCCTGCTGGGCCTTTCTGCAGGCTGCCAAAAGGACAACATGGACCACCTGTATCAACAGCCTCAGAATGCTGCTCCATACAACCCTGCTTTGTCTACATGAAGGCCACAGACTAAGCACTGCTACCACCTTTCCAGGTGGCCTGCAGAGGAAGCACCTCTCATGAGGAACTTACCTAGGAATTTGTTAAGGCACAATGAAGCCCATCCATGGCAACATGTGCTCCTCACCCAGCCCAGCCTCCAATTTGGAGCCTTCTTCCTGGATGCTGCACCTACAGTGTTGCTTTTCTCCTACACCTCAGGGATGTCCTGTGCAGCTGGGGAAGTCTGCAACCTCCTAAGAGCACCATTCTCAGATGGAGTCAGGGCCAACTTAGAGACAGGATGGCCCCACCCCAGGCGGGGTGGGGGGACGACACACACAAAGCATTGCAAAGCCCCAGGGTTTGGCTGATGTCTTCTTAATTCTGAAGGTATGTTAACTCGAGGAAACAGCCAATGGCAGAACATTGCTACTACTGGGAAAAAATAAACTGGAAAGTACTTCTGCCCAATCACTAACTTTTCCTCTACCTGCTGCTTAAAGATTAAGATAACTGACCACAGGGCTGGGGATGTAGCTCAGTAGTGCCGCTGCCTGACTTACAAGTGCAAGGATGGGAGTTCAATCCCTGGTACCAAAAAAAAAAAAAAAAGATAATTGCCCACAAATCCCCACTCAATGAAGAGCCCTAGGGCTGGGGATTTAGCTCAGTGGTTCCAGCACCTGCCTCGCAAGTGCAAGGACCCGAGTTCTATCCCCAGCCCCAAAAAAAAAAAAAAAAAAAAAAAAAAAAAAAAAAAAAAAAAGGAGCCTATACCCTGTTACTTGGTGAACTCACCTGGCACTTGGCCTTGAGTCCCGGCCATTGACCCTTGCTGGAAACACTAACTCTAGGAGGAAATCCAGGAGACAGTGCCACGGACCATCCAGGAGGGGGCACCTTTCTTGTGGGGCACAATGAGATGAAACAGCCACTCTCCGCTCTCTAAAAGAATCTGTACTCTCTGGCCAGAGCTGTGACCATCCTCCCTCCTAACTGAACCCCATGTCATCTGGGGCTCCTGCTCCCCAGTGTCTATGTGCCATGACTTCTGCAGGACAAGGAGGATGGACTGAAGACGCACAGGGATTCACCAAGAACGAGGATATGTAACTGGTAAGAACTGGGGATGTAGCTCAATGGCACTGCCCCTGCCTTGAAAGCATAAAGTCCTGAGTTGGATCCCCAGTGCCAACAAAACAAAACAAAAACACCACCTAAAAAAGACAGGGCAGAGCTGGACAAAAATCCTCATTATTAGGATGTTTGTTTTTGTTTTTTGAGATAGGGTCTCACTTAATAGTTCAGGATGGCCTTAAATTCACTATAACTCAGGCTGGTTGTAAACTCACTCACAGCAATCCTCCTGCCTCAGCCACCAGAGCGCTGGAACTATGAGTGTATACCACCACACCGGGCTATGAACATGTTTCACAAACACAAAATATGAACACTCAACCCCTGGCTTCTCCCTTAACAGATGCACTGTGGAGAGCCACAGAAAGGAAAGCACAAGGACTGCTTAGAAAACTGTCAGGGATCAGAAAGGGAACAGACTCAGAGCAGATGCTGAGGCCTGCACCTGGATTAAATCCTGCGGGCCCTGTATACCTACCTGCACACCACAGGCAAGGAACACCCCAAAGGCCTCACAGATACCGACCCTCCCAAAACCATCACACAACCACAGCAGCAATGGGGGCCAGGTGGCCAGAGAAAAGGAAGAAACTAGGCTGCTTGCAGAGGTACTTCCAGGGCAGCAGGTGTAACACCACAACCTGGCAGTACCAGCCTTCTCTATACCACCAGGTCCCACCAGCAGCCACAGCTTGGGCACTTTCCAAGTGAGGGACCATATCCTAGGTGCCCCTCAGACACTGAGCATGACTGCAGCAAGTCCAGCTTCTTTATTCTTCACTCCTCACCTGCCCTATGAAACAAAATGAGACCTCACAACTGTAAACGGTCGTGGAAGTCAACACCAGTGTTCACCAAGGTCCCCGCTGCCCAGGCCTTGACACCAAGCCACAGTGCTGCTGAGAGAGCCATGCTTCTCCATTGGGAAAAGCCGGGGACTGAAAGGTGTGAGTGCTTTACTGTTACAAGGCAGGGGTTCGCCTCCATGAAGCCTGCCCCGGCCACCAGAGGCCACGCTGTGGCTCCATGTATAGATGAGCGTTCCGTGCTGCAGAAACAAGGAGAGTTCATAGTGACGCTGTAGTACAGCCTTCCTGGAGAGGACTCGCCACCCCGCTGCTGGGCGGCCGGGGAGAGCTCCTCCACCTCTCTGGCGCGGACGTCGCCGCAGACACAGACGCGCCAATTGCTCCTGAGCGTCGCGCGGACGCCAAGCTCGAGACAGAAAAGCCGCGCTGCTCCCCCAAGCCTAGTGAATGCAGGCGCGGCGACGTGGGAGCAGCAGCCAGGAGCGGGGACCAGGAACTGGGACGAGGCCAGAGGCCCGCCGTTCTCCTCGGTCTGGCGCGGGGCAGGCCGAACCCGCCGTAGCTCCAGACAAAGCGCGAGGCGACCGCAGGCAGCCCGAAGGATGGAGCGCTGGGGACTCTGCTCCTGAGCGTCGCGCGGACGCCAAGCTCGAGACAGAAAAGCCGCGCTGCTCCCCCAAGCCTAGTGAATGCAGGCGCGGCGACGTGGGAGCAGCAGCCAGGAGCGGGGACCAGGAACTGGGACGAGGCCCGAGGCCCGCCGTTCTCCTCGGTCTCGCGCGGGGCAGGCCGAACCCGCCGTAGCTCCAGACAAAGCGCGAGGCGACCGCAGGCAGCCCGAAGGATGGAGCGCTGGGGACTCGGGACCCCCGTACGTACCCTGGAACTTCTCGCCTCCCGGGAGCTCTGGGCGATCCAGCTGCAGCCCGAGAGAAACCGGGATTAGGCCCTGCCGCCGCCACCGATGCCGCCACCGCCTCACGCTCTCCGACCCGGAAATGCTCGGACCTACTTCCGGGACCCTCCACCCCTCCCGTTGGCACAAACCACTGGAACCACGGCGGGGAGGAACCTGTGGCCAGGGCTGGGAAAAGACCTTTCCACCTCGAAAACACTGCGTAATGCAAAGCTTCTTCCCAGGAATACCACTATTCTGGAAGAATTCTTTCTAAATCCTCGCGCTGGTCCAAGATGCACCCCCACCTGAGAAGGAGGTGCAGTCCGAAACCCGCCCACCACCTACAGCGAATGGGAGCAGACCGAAGGAGATGAAATCCCGCTCCAGCCGCCCCACCACCCCCACCCCGGCCCTCTGGCCTCTGCCTCTTTCTACCCCGCTCCAGCCACGCCCTCTCGTTGAGCCAGCTGTGGATTTGAGTTCTGCGCCGCCAGGCCTAGGAGAAAAAACCGAGACAAGAAGAGAGTGTTGGGTTGTTCCCCTGGCGGGCAGCTTTGTTCCAGCATTTCCTGCAAGGAGCATGCATACAGCCAGTATAGACACTGTGTGCGTGTCCTTTGAGGGTAGGGGCACTGAGGAGAACGAGCCCGTAATCCCGGTCCTCTCCAGCCCATCACAGGGAGAAGGAAATAATAAACCGTGAACACTGGAAAATGCAACCACCTGTAATCCCAGCTGACTGAGGAGGCTGACTCAGTAGGATGAACGCGAGTTCCAGGCCAGCCGGAACTACATCGTGAGACCCCACCCCCGGTACCGGGGATCAAACTCAGGACCTTGGTGCTTGTGGAACAGGCGCGGTGCCACTGAGCTAAATCCCTGGCCCCTTAAAAAAGTTTTTAAAAATCAACAATATGAGCCAAGCATGGTGGCTCACGCCTGTAACCCTAGCTCTCAGGTGGCTGAGACTGGACGATCGCTGCGAGTTTGAGGCCAACCTGGGCCACATAGTGAGTTCAAGGCCAGCCTAAGACTGTCTCAAAAACAAAAACACACCGCCTGCCTTGCAAGCTCAAGGTCCTGAGTTCCATCCTCTATACCGAAAAACAAAACCAAACCAAAAAGAAAGAAACAAACAAATCATCGTGGCACGGGAAAAGGCCATCCTTGATTCAACAAAAAGGCAGGCTGGGCCAGGACTGCAGCTCAGTGGTCTTGCGCTTGCTGACATGCACAAAGCCTTGGGTCCTTCCCCAGCAAGAAAAAGAAAAGAGTGGATCAGGGTCAGGGTCTGGAGCCTGAGTAATGGGCATCCTTGATGAAGTGTTGACGAGGAAGTGAGGACCAGGCGGCTGTGGCAGGGATCCTGCAGGGCTGGCACTGGCTCACCAGACCCGCTTTGTGCACATAGTGGCTGGACCAGTGGAGCACTGTGGCTGGCAAGTAGTTGTGGAAGATGGTTGGCAGGACTTGAGTGGTTGGATGTGGGTGCCAGGGAATGTCAAGGACAGAAAGGACTGTGAATGGGAAGATGGGAGCCAATTAAAGCAGGAGAATGGTTTGGGAGTGGAGCCCCAGGGATGGGACAAGCTGGAGGAAGTGTTCAAGGACAGAGGCTGCACCAGAGAGGGGCTGGTAGCGGAGGTGGGACCAACTCCTGAAACCCAGACCTCTTAAGGTGAAGAGGTCTGGAATCTTCAAAGGAAACCAAAAGGAATTGGGATGGGGGCAGAAAAGGGGTTTGGAAAAGAACCAGGAGAGTTGCTGGAAACTAAAGGAAGCAAGTGTATCCACCAGGAGAGTAAGGTGGGGTCTGCTTAGGCCCTGTACAGCAGCACTGGCCTGAGGGAGTGTAGAGAGAATACATGAGAAGCCTGAGTAGGCACTGGTGCAGCCATATCATTTTCCTGGAAAGGGCAGGGAAAGTGGAGGAAACAGAATAAACCAGTCAGGACTGCTGTTTGTGCTGCTTGTGATGGGTAAAACATCAGGAAGAAAGGATGGTACCAAACAGGGGGACTCTGGAGCACGTCCCCTCTTCATGAGCCAGACAGCAGGATCTGGATGGTATAGATGGATCCAGCATCACTCAGGCACCTTGAGTGGCAATTGTATGGCCCAGAGGAGTTCTTTGCCCTCTCTGGGCAACAGTGTCTTTGGCTGCAAAGTGCAGATGTTAACAAGTGCACCTGCCTCTTGGGTCATGGAGAAGATTGAATGGGTGAACACAGGGAGAGTATGCAGTGGAGTCCAGTGTGGTGGAGATGAGGGACTGGGGTGCCACCCCTAACCTGCACCAGACACCCGTCTCTCTTCTTTACCTGGTTGGAGATTGGCAGAAGCATATGCTGCTGCCTGCTGAGGACTGTTAGATGCAGGGGCTCCTGGGAAGAAGGAGGTCTAATAGCCTATGGTCAACTTGTTTCCAGGCCCTCCCACCCACCCCTTCACCTGAACCTGGGGACTACTGGAGGAGGTTTCAGAAGAAACACATGCAGGATGGGACCTAAAGGGCACTTCCTTTGTAAGCATCTTAAGGAAGTTCAGTTTACCCATCCTCAGGTGTGCAAAATGACCCCAAAGAGCTGCCTAGGGTCAGACTGAGCTCAAACTGAAAATAAGTAGTGCTTCTCCAGAGTGTAGACACCTACTGACACCCCCCCCACATCTGCTGACATAAAATGACCCTTTGCCTGCTCACATGTGTGGAGCACATATGGCCTCACACACCAGCAGGCTCTGACAGGTCCCACATATAACCCACCATCCACACTGTCAGCTCCAATGTACACTGACAGGTACTCCAGCAGCCCCTTGCACTTGCTGCTGCCAGTGTGCACACCTACCTGCCTCCCATTCACACAGTCCTGCACCTGGAGGCCCTGCTGAGCCTTGGGTCTGTGCTGGCACACGTTGCTCCTGCCTAGTGCAGGCCCAGACAGGCACGGATGCGCCTGCAGAGTAGAACTGCTCCCACAGCCCAGCCTCTCCCCTTGCCACTTGCCCAGCACACACAGCCTCCCATCTTCCACCATCCCCACAGCAAGAGCCCAGAGCCAGGTGGGACGATGGAGGAGGGAGGCTGAAGCGTGGTCACAGGAAGAGGGCAGTGGGGTGAGAAGAGGGGAGTTGAAGCTTACAGAGCTGGAGGAGGGGACAGACCAGCCAAAATGAACTCTCAGAGGAGGGAAGGCAAGTACAGTAAATGAGTGTCCTCTGACCCCAAGAAGTGTAGCTTAAAACAACAGAAACTTATTCTCACATAGTCCTGGCAGCCAGAAATCTGCTATCAAGGCTGGCATGGCCACACTCCCAGAGTCCTTGGGGAAAGTTCCACGCATTCCTTGGCTTGTGGCCACAGCACTCTGATCTCTGCTTCTGTCTTATCATGCCCTTCCCTCTATGTTTGTCTCTCCTATCACTTGTTTGGGTTTTTTTTTTTTTGGCACTGGGTATTGAACTTGGGACCTTTCACTTGCAAAAGCAGGTGGAGGAACCACTGAGCTAAATCCCCAGCCCTCTCCTATCTCTTATAAGAACACTGTTATTGAATGTAAACCTACCCAGAATAATTACCCAAGTAATTCAGAATAATCCCACTTCAAAACCTTTCACAAAATCACCTGAGAAGACATTTTTCCCCAGTAAAGTCACATTCACAGATCCTGGATGTTAGGATATGGACTTATCTTTGGGGAACAACATTCAAGCCACTAACTACAGAGAGTGAGAAGGGCTGCATTTTGGATTAACAGGACTCTGGAAACAGATGGAGTAATGCCAGCAGGAAAAGCAGGAGCTCAGCCTTTCCCTGTCTGCTGGTTTCTGACTCCTTCCCACTGAACTTGTGCCCTGACCTCAACGTGGATCCCAACAATCCCAAGGGGTTCTTGAGATCGATCCAAGACCACGTCAACTGGGCCTGATGGTCCATACCTGTAATCCTGGCTCTAGGAGGCTGAGGCAGGAGGATTGCAAGTTTGAACCTAGCCTGGGCAATTTAGTGACTTGGCAAGACCCTGTCTCAAGTAAAAAATTTTTTAAAAGGGCTAGGGTCAGACATGTTGGCACATGCCTATAATTCCAGCTCTTGAGAGGCTGGGCAGGAGAATTGCTGTGAGTTCAAGGCCAGCCTGAACTATATAGCAAGACCCTGTCTCAAAAAACCAAAAATAAATAAATTTTAAGAGGGCTGGGGATGCAGTTCCATACAAAGGCCTAGGTCCCATCCCACATGATCCAGACCCTGCTGAGCCCTCATGTCCTTACCACAGTCAGACTGAGATGGATCCTGCCTCCTCTGTGCTCCTTCCCCAGCTACAAATGGCCATACCCCACAACACCTGCACTTGGCTTTCATCCCCAGGCTCCAGGCTCCTGAGGTCATACTCCTTCCTGGGACCCTAGAACTCAGCTGCTTGGCTGTTTGCGGCAGCTAGCAGGCTCCAGCCAAGCCTGTGTGGATGCTGGACGCAGGGTTTAGGCACAGCAAAAAGCACAGCTAAGGGTAGTGGCTGAGGCTGTGGGGACCAGGATGCTGCTTGGGCAGAGGGGCTCTTTGGAGGTGCCTGGCACAGAGTAACGTGCCCCAGAGAGTCAGGGTGGGGAAAGGGGAGGGTCTGGTTGATACAAAGGAGGAACAAAGAACTATGAGGGCTTCTTAAGGAGCGCTGAAGGACAGGTAACCTCCCGCCCTCTGAGGAGCCAAAGCCCCTCGATGAAGACCACCTGGGCCATTAGGGCTGGGAGTCGGAGCTGGAGGAGGGGACAGACCAGCCAACACAGTCAGCCACACAGACTCTGTGTGGCACTGGTGGGCTTGTTAAGGAAAACGACAGTCTACTCCCTTGAGTGCCCCGCTGGTGACTTCGCAAGACAGGGACGAGTCTCGAGAGCCCGGCGTGACGCGACGTCCCCCGCGCAGGCTCCAGCTTCGGAGGCGCAGGTGGGAAAGCAGCGGCAAAGGCACGTCCCGGGAACGCGAAGCCTCCAGGGCACTACCCGGCTCCTGGAGCCCACCCACGCGCTGCGGAGCTGGGCGGGCAGGGCGCGGCCGGGCTAGGCAGTGGGCTATACCACCGCGCCGGGTGTCCAGGTCGTACCACTGCCCGGCCGCGGGGGGGGAGGGATGCAGCAAGCCCCGCCCGGCAGGTGGCAGCCCCTCCCCAGGCCGACGTGCAGAAAAGAACGCGCCGGCCTAGCCCACTAGGGGCCGCGCGGAGGTGGGCGGGGTGCACAGCCCCCCCCGCCGGCGCACACTGGCTGCGGTGTGGCTGGGCGGGCCCTGCTCAGCACGCCATTGGCTGCCGTCGCGGTTCTTTGCATACAGGGCGGGGTTGCATACAGGGCTGGCCCGCCTATGGTGCGAGGGTAGTCGCGGTTGCTGCAGAAGTTGGTCAGAGAACCGGGGACAGCCCCGCGCCGGGGTCGCAGGTGACGCGCGGGGTCCCAGACTGGCGGGCGGGGCGCATTTTCGAAGCCGCCCTTCTCCTGGGCTGCGGGGATCGGGCGGGCAGGAGCTGCGTGGCTTGGACACTCAAGTTGGAGAGGACTGGGCGGGAGGCGACTCCTCCACAGCCCGCAGGGCCGCCCCTCCAGGCTCAGGGCAGCCCCTGCCCACCGCACACTGCGCTACTCCCGACCCACTGTGCGTGTGACAGCGGCTGATCTGTCCCTGGGCAGCGCGAGCCCTTGGCCCTTCGGTGACCTGGGTCTAGCAAGCAGGAGGGGGGCCTCAAGGAGCGGAGGGCCCATGCAGCCCGGGAGGAGGCCTCCCCTGGGCAGGCCAGTTGGAGCTGGAGTGAGGGGACACTCCGCTGTCCTCCGCCCCCCACGTGGACTGAGGCCGGGCCAAGGTACCCTCCTGAAGAGAACTTTCTTCTTGTGTGCTCCAAGGTGCCAGGCTGTGCAACGCCCTCAGGACCACCTCCTCGAGGTCACCATGCCCAGGGAAGCCCGTGGGAGGCACGTGTGTTGTGATCTTCTGCCGACAGGACCCACCTCCTGAGGGCCACCTTGGGATTCCCTACAGGAAGACAGCTGCCACTTTATCTTTTGTCCATTTCTGTCACTTCCCTGAGGCAGTCAGGAAAGTGGGCCCGTGCTGGGGTCCAGGAAGGGTTCCACCCAGAGTCCTCTGTGGAAGTGTGGACCAGGAGTGTGCCCAGAACAGCTCCTGGCAGGCCAGGACACTGCAGCAGCCCCAGGCCTGGCTGGACGGAGGCACATCTCTGTAGTGGGGGTGCAAGCACTCTAGAGGAACCCTTTGTTGTCACCACAGCAGGTTCAGCAGGTGAGGGGAGGTTGTGTGGCCTTGGGGCTGAGAACCTGCAGAACTTCTCCCTGCAGTCACTTTCTGTGGGAGACCCTCAATGAACTGGGGTTCTCACTTCAGGGCGGGACATGAGCAGGAATGGTGGGCAGGAGTGGCTCCAGCACTGTCCACAGCACAGCCTGACCTCGTCCTCTTCCTGGACTGCCCAGTGGGAAGGGAGGCAGTAGTACCCTACACCAACACCTGCAGGGTCCTATCACAGCACTGCCGGGGAAGGTGACCTCCCTTACAGGGCACTGTGGGATCTCAGCACCTCCACACTTCACATAGCTCACACCATTTTCTTCAAAGTAAAATTTAAAACTCAAACTTTTAAGCAACTAGAAGGTTTGCTTAGTGATCCAAAACACTCTGGCAACTTTGGGGGGACATGGGACTCTTTCTACCTGGAACAACTGTGTCAGAAAAGAACTCTATCCTGCCCCCACCTAAGCACAGTGGCAGTAGGGAGTTTTTTTTCAGGGCCAGGAGCCCAATAGGGCCTGCACAGTGGCTTCAGAACAAATAGGTGTCCCTCGGGAGGACACAGGCGTGTGTGGTGGGCGCTGGCTTGGAAACATGGTACCTTAGATATGGAGCACATGGTGTGGGGCTCCTCACCAACTCTGGTGGAGTCTCTGGGCAGCGCCTGTCATGGCCCCTGCTGGCCTGTTCCCTTAGCTGGTTCAGGACTAGTGCCCAGCAGTGCATCCAGACCTCTTGAGTGTAGTCAGCGAGTATGGTGAGGGGAGTAAGTCCCTAGGTCCCAGCCCTCCCACCTAGGGTGTACCCCGGCTAGCCTTTGCACTTGAGGGTCCATGCCATGTGTGCTTGTGCCTGGCCCACCAGTCTAGGTCCATGCGCCCAGAGGATCTAGGCTGCAGCAGCCTTGGGGAGGAGAAGGTGCAAATGGGAGCAGTCCAGAGGGCGTTCTGGCTGTGGACACCTGGTTGGAAGCCTGCTGCTCCCCAGCCTCCCCCATTTGTACCTCCCTGAGGAAATACCCAGTCCTGTTTGCCCCACATAGCAGTGGGCTCCTAGTGGCCCTGGCCTCTGAAGAGCTCTCCCTGGTAACCATGGGTGGCCTCCTTGCTCCTCCTGTTTAGGACTTCCATGTTCCCTGCCAACTATCCCAGAGGAAGTGGCCCACACCAGACCCAGCTCAGGAGTCCATCCCAAATATCCCCTATCCTTGAATCCGGCAAAAAGACCCCATGATCTAGGGTAGTGATGAACCTTTTAGAGCTTTCAATGATAAACAGCCCACTGCGGTACACATACCATAGGTTTGCCACCACCGAGCTAGGGTGACCCTATCCCCTGTCCGCCAGTACCACCCATGGCTAAACCAGGGCCCCAGATCTTATCACCAAGATCTCCAACCCCAGGCCTCAGAGCTGGGAGCGTGTAGTCCACCTGAGGATCTGGGTCCTGGGAGAGGCCATAGCTAACCCAAGGACCAAGACAGTGGCCCAGCTATGGAATCTGTCCTGCCCTGATTTCAAAGCTGCTGCCTCACAGCAAAGGCTTCATACTAACTTGGAGAGAGGAAAACAGTCCTTCTTCACACCATGCCACACCCTCCTGAGGCCATGCTCCTCACTCCTGGGTGGGTGGGGGGGCTCCCTGGACCTGACTGAGGAGCCCAGGGCCCACCCCACAAGTTCTCTGGGAGACAGTAAACCTGCCTGGCGGGTCTAGCTTGTCCTGGCATCCTAGGTTCCTGTAGCTGGTCAGACACAGGCCAGATGAGAGGAAGCCAGATGGGAGAAGGGTCCAAACAGAAACCCAGGCCAGGGCAGAGCCAGCATGCAGAGGACTGCAAAGGAGACTGCCCAGGGCAGGAGGGCAAAGCAGTCTTGGACCCTATTGTGCAGTGATCCCTGAAGCACTCTTCTGACAGGTAACTTGGAGTACTTCCCAGTGCCACCCCAATCTCAAATTCTAGACCCAGCAGATCCTGCCCAGTGCAGCCTCAAGACACATTCAAGCCATTATGGGCAGTTTATTGAGGTTCATGGTCAGGTAGGGGAGGCAGCACACACACCCACAGGCTGAGTCCACTGTCCATGTGCCTGCCATCTCCAATAGCAGTAGTGGCCTCTGGGGCCTGGTGAGTTCTGAGTTATGTCTCTCGCTTCTCCAGGGAGCTTGTCAGACTTGGCAAGGACTAGGGCAACCCTCCCAATCACAGATCTGTGCATCAGAGCCTCCCCCTGCATGAGAAAGGAATCTTCTGTGATCAGACTCCTGTTGTCCTTGCAGCCTTCCTGTTTGCCCTGGCTTATGTGTCTTCCACAGCACTGCTCTGGGGCAGGAGCTGCTACCTCCAGGAGCTTTGCCTCATGGTGGTAACTGTGAAGAAGATATAGGCTGAAGAGGCTGATCTAGGGAGGGCCCATACCGCAGGGTAGGGGGACAGACTTACCCTCCAGATTCAGGGTGGGTACTGGGATTGGCCTCTGGGGGTCTTCCTGGAGGGTGTCTTCTTCAGTTGAAAGCAGAAGGCTGTCCTGTGGAGAGCAAAGGTCAGTTGTATGACCTTGTATGGCCCCCATCCTTCCGCCACTCCCAGAACTGTTCTGACCTGTGTGCCAGGGGAGGCTCTGTCTGGCTGTGGGGGTGGTGGCAGTGCAGACCCTGTCTGCATGATGAACTGCTGCAGGTTGCACTGGCGCAGCTCCCGGTTCAGCTCCTCCAGCTCTTGTACCTGAGCCTGGGGCACACAGGACCCTCAGGGGACAAGGCCACCAGCACTCTCCCTAGTCTGACCCTGTCAGATCCCAGGTTCCAAACTCCAGGGTGGGGAGGTGGCATGGGCTGGGGTCTCCTGGGCTCACCTGCAGCGTGTGCTCAGCCGCCTCCAGAGCCCGGCTCACCAGGGCCAGGCTGCCTTGTACCTCTGCACTCTGCTGCTCCTGGATGGCCAGGTCTTGGCGCAGGCGCTCAGTGGCAGATGCCGTGGTAGAGGGGGGCCCAGGGGCCTCAGTGGCCATCAGCAGCTCAGCCTCCAGGGCACGGGCCTGAGCATCCAGAGACTGCAGCCGGGCAGCATGCTCTGCAGTGGCTGCGCTCAGTGCCTGCAGGCGTGCCTGCCCCTCTCGCTCCCTGGCTTCTTCCCGCCTGAGCTCCTGCTCCCAGAAGTCCTTATGGCTCAGCTCCTCTGAGTTCCTCTGCACCCTGAGTTCCATGCCCTGTAGGTCTTCAAAGAAGCCTAGGTTGGATGCTACAGGGGCTGGAGGCTCAGAGGATGAGGGGCTGGGGACCAACCTGGGACACCCCAGGCTAAAGGTCAGTGCTCTGTGGGATTCACGGCCCGGAGCTGCCCGTGGTTTTGGGGGCAGGCTGGCACGAACTGGGCATCGTTCTGGGGGTGGACAGCTGTCTGAGGAGGGCCTCCCAGCCAGGCTGGGCCCTGTCCGCCTCAGGACAAACTGGACCTCATTGGCAAATTGTCCGAAGGTAGCCTGGGCACCCACTGGACACTCCTGTGGCAACAGCGGACGTTCCTTCTCCTTAAGACGCTGCACAAGCACAAAGCGGCCTGTCTGGCCTGTGGAGTGGGGGGAGAGGTCAACTGGAGCAGGGGAGAAAATGGGTGGTCCCACCCCAGTCCCACCTGTTAGGCCCACTGGCAAGCAGGGGACTTACCTATGGCTTGGGCTAATGCAATGACCACTTCCTGGCAGGTGGTCTGCTCTGAGACCCCACAGACCACCCGCTGAATGCCATCCACCCATACCTTCAGCTCCATGGAGGACAGCCCCAGAACCATCCCTGTCCTGTGGGGAGGAGATAGGCCACAGGTCAAGTCCTGCCTGGGCCTCCCTTCCTGCCCCCCATGTCAGCTGCCATGACTGGTTCAGGGTTTAGGCCCCTCAGCATCGGGTCTGCCCTCCAGTGCCCAGCCCCATCCGGCAGGCCGCACATTCTTGGGGTAGCCGGGGAACTAGCTAAGCCCTGGCTTCCCCCACTTCACCCGTCCCCACTCTCGGAACGAGGCGAATCATTAACCAGGTCCAGGATTTCCTGTCCGACCGCCACCCCCAGCGCCACCTTTCCCGCGGGCACTGCCCCCTTTCCGCGGGCGGCTGTCCCAAGCACCCAAGGGCTCACACACAAACACTACGCCATCCACTGCCAAGGGAAAGCCCCCCCTCAACTTCTCGGGCCCCAGAGAAGCCGTGTCACGACCCACACCCGATCCTCGTACTCTTGAGCACCAGACCCGGAAGCCCCCTCCCGCTTGGGGAGCCCCCAGCCGGGTGCACAGCTCCTACTGCCCGGGGAGTGCGCTCGCCCCGGAAGTCAGCGCCCGCGCTGG